TCCCCTGCACTTGGATCCTCACCTCCGTCTCACTCACCGGCGCGCGCTGACAGCTACAGACAACGCTGCTGCAGATATCTGAGCTTTTGTTTTCTGTTAAAGGATCTTCATCACTCCATCTTACTTTAATAAGGAGTTATAAGCTAGTGCTTTTATACCTGCTTCGTGTGATCTATTCCTTCTGGTCTACTGGTCAACATCAGAGTTATTATTTTTCTCACTATGATTTAATACCAGTCAACTGGATTTGAACTATTTTGTGATTGTGTGTGTGACTATTTAATATGTTATTTAATTTTTTTATTGTCTTCAAAATGCCTTATGAAAAAAAAAATAAAAAAAATGGAACTTTGTTTTGCTAAGCCACTTTCATATGTTTTGGTGTTAGAGTAATTTTCTGAGAAATTATGTGATTTCAGAGACCCTTTTATTCACTCTTCCAGAATATAAAGTGCTAAGTATAAAAACAATAGCACATCTGTTATTTCTTTTAGTTTAACTTTCATTTCTATTTTCTGATTTTTGTTTTTACAAAGCTACCTTACATATTAAATCTATCATCCATTAGTCTTAGATCATGAGGTTTAAAGAGAATTTTTATTTGGAGCAGAAATTTAGTTAATAGTTCATTCTCTTTCACTAGGTAATATGGAACAACTTGGCCCCTTGTGGCCTGGCTGAAGATACATCTATTCACGCCTGTAAAAGCAAATGAGAATGACACCTGGTGGTGGCCCCACCCACTACTTTTAAACACCCAGCCTGGTTTTTTACCTCCCCTGAGCCAGTTGAGGTTAAGAACCACCTGCTGCTTTTCCCAGACTTTGTTGCCAAGCTTACGTCGTTCCGAGGAAAACCTTTGCCCACCCACACTACAGATCCAGGCTGTCCAGTTTGCTGACCTGGACAGCACCAAGAAGGCTGGGCTGGTGAGCCTACCTCCTATGGAGCCCACCTTGGCAGCTTACCTGGCTCGAACGTGCAACAGTGGTGTGAGCAAAATGGGTACCCTGACCTCCAAGCTGTTCAGGTTGTCTGTGGTACAGCTGGAGATGATTTAGCCAGGCTTCTTCCACCCGTGCCCTGTGCTTCGTCACCATGCTCTAGGCCTACCAGGCTATGTGCTTGGTAGCCCTCGGAGCATAGGTGCCCCCTGACTTGCCCGCTGTGCTCTTCCCGGGCAGGACTGCCCTTTCCCTAGGTGGAGGTATTTATATTTGTATTTAAATTTATTATTTGATAAGGACAAATATGTACATTCAACCTGTATCACTATAACATTTATAGCCAAAGCTAGCTTACAATGTCTGTCCCTAGACAGGCTTTCAGTCAGTTAATACTGTCTGTAACATTTACATCAACAATAAATAAAAGTGTATATTAATATAAATTCTAAAAGTGAGCGCAGACCTGATCAGTTTTTAAAGCATGCTTCATTTTCAGCAGTCTGAGTGTAGGGTGGCACCCACTGAAGTTTCCCTGAAAGACTGGGAGCTCTATATGGGAGCATAGCGGTGAAGGGTGGAGTCCCAAACCCAGTCTGAACTCCACATCAAGTATCTGGAGGGTCAGCTGTGTTTTTGGCCCTAACACACTTAAGACTATACCTGAGGTGTCAACATGGTGCTAGTATACATGGACAACACAATGGTGGTGCATATATAAACAGGCAGGGAGGAACACGTTCCCTCCCTTTGCAGAATCTTACTCACGCATTGTAGTTGTGAAATCGGAATATTTTGTTGCTCAGAGCTGTATACGTCCCTGGCTGCCCTGATCATGAAGCGTACCTTCTCTCTAGAGGCGGATCCCAGGCAAGAGAAAGGCAGCTTTAACTGGAGATAATGACCCAGATCTGGCAGAGGTGTGGCATTGTCTTCTGTTAGAGAGGATGTACAGAATGAACCTGTGCCTGATTTGGGAGCCCCAAAGTGACCCATGAAGTCCTGGTATCCACTGGACAGCAGTAGCTCAGGTGGTAGAGTGGGAATCATGGGTTCAATTCCAGCTCCTGCCAGCGGTATTCTGCTGCTGTGTCCTTGGGCAAGACACGTCACCCAACTTGCCTGTGTTGGTGGTGGTCAGAGGGGCCAACGGCGCCAAATGGCAGCCTCGCCTCTGTCAGACTGCCCCAGGCGGCTGTGGCTACAATGTAGCTTACCATCACTAGCAGCATGTGAATGTGAGAGTGCATGAAACTGTCTTTGAGTGTCCTAAACAAGCGCTAAATAAGTTTGATGATCATTATTATTATTATTCCTATTATTAGATTGTCAGTTTGATGGTGTTTCTGCCGTGGCGGCTCCCCGTCAGATGAGACCTTCTGTTTCAAAATGAGGGTAAGGTGCTGCACCCTCCTCTGGACTTTTGGAGACTGCATGTTTAACTACTGAGAGGTCAAAACCTACATGCTAGGGATCTTCCAACAGCAGTGGTACCCATGATTCAGAGCTTGAGAACGTGTTCCACTAGAATGGCAAATGGCCTGTATTTGTATAGAGCCTTCTTAGGGTTCTACAACCCCCAAGGGGCTTCACAACACAATCAGTCATTCACTCATTCACTCACACTTTTACACACTGGTGGAGATTAGCTAAAATGTAGCCACAGCTGCCCTGGGGCACACTGACGCAAGGTGGTGGCCAGTATTGACCTGCCTAATACTGGCGCCATTGGTCCCTCCGACCACCACCAGCAGGCAAGGTGGGTTAAGTGTCTTGACCAAGGACACAACAGCAGCATTCTCTGGTCGGAGCCGGGATCAAACCTGCAACTGCAACTGGACAATTACTGGACAATCCACTGTACCTCCTGAGCTACTGCTGTCCCTAGAACCTATAGGTGGATGGCTTTTGAGCAGTGGTGACTAGCCAGAACTGTAATATGTAATCTGAAATCTGCATCTCCATAAATTTGGTCAGCTGCAGGAAGCATGAAGTGCTCTAAAATTTTCTGGTAGAAGGCTGCGTTGACCTTGGACCTCAGAAAACACAATGGACCAACACCAGCAGATGACATTGCACCCCAAGCATCACTGACTGTGGAAACTTTACACTGGACCTCAAGCAACCTGGATTCTGTGCCTCTCCTCTCGTCTTCCAGACTATGGGACCTTGAATTCCAAAGGCAAACAAAATTTTACTTTCATCAGAGAACATAACTTTGGACCTCTCAGCAGCAGTCCAGTCTTTTTTGTCTTTCGCCCAGACAAGATGCTTCTGACGCTGTCTCTTTTTCAAGAGTGGCTTGACACAAGGAATGCGACAACTGAAACCCATGTCTTGCATACGTCTGTGCATGGTGGATCTTGAAGCACTGACACCAGCTGTAGTCCTCTCTTTGGAAATCTCCTCCACATTTTTTAATGGGTTTGTTTGTTTCTCAGGGTGCAATTATCCCTACTGCTTGTCCACTTTTTCTACCAAATCTTGTCCTTCCCTTTGCCTCTCTATTAATGTGCTTTGACACAGAGCTCTGTGAACAACCAGCCTCTTTAGCAATGACCTTTACTGTCTTGCACTCCTTGTCCAAGGTGTCAATGGTCATCTTTTGGACAACTGTCAAGTCAGCAGTCTTCTCCATGATTGTGTAGCCTGTAGAACTAGCCTGAGAGACCATTTAAAGGCTTTTAAAGGAGTTTGAGTTAATTAGCTGATTAGAATGTGGCACTAGGCGTCTTCAGTAGTGAACCTGTTCACAATATTCTAATACTCTGAGATACTGAATTAGGGATTTTCATTAGTTGTTACAACTACTGTATGTATGTATGTATATATACAAGTTTCACTTTTTGAAAGGAATTACTGAAACAAATCAATTTTGTCATGATATTTTAATTTTATGACCTGCACTTGTATGTCCCATAGTACCAATGCTGTACCAAGTTAATCGATCAAAAGGGAACGTTAGATTTTGCATATAACAACTGTTTCTTGAAGGAAAGGAACGAGTTGCAATGCAGGGCTGCCCCCTACGCAGCCGAGCACAGTGAAGAGCTGCTATTGACTGGAAAATGGTGGTGATGCTGGGTGTTAAAGGTTCTGGGCAGGGCCACCACCTTGCGTCATGTGTCTTCAGCCAGGCAACACAAGGGCGTGATGTCCCATTGTATCATGTACCATTCTCTCCTGGCAACACTGGTGCATACCCTAACTTCTTTTTTAAACATATGCATGTTGTCTACTAATATTTTAACATGAAAACACTGTAGCTTTCTCAAAGTCGAAAAGAGTTTGGAAAATCACTCACCATTCTCCACAAAACACTTTAATCATTTTTAAATTCACATGCATGGTCAGAAAAACATTTGATCCAGTTCTACGTCTATTTACTTGTAGTAAAAGTCAGTTTTAGTGGCATTAATTTATTTGCAGTGATCAGCATCAGCTTGAAATATGGTTGTGTCAGTCAAAGCTGTAACATTATGAATAAAATTAATAATTACTTCTTAGTAGTCTAGCAGTAGAGTGTCTGACCTGGGACTGGGAGATCGGGGTTCAAATCCCTATTGGGTCATGCCGAAGACTTTTTTTTTTTTAAAAAAGGACCCAATGCCTCCCTGCTTGACTCTCAGCTTTAAAAGGGTTGAATTGCGGAGTTATACCACCAAATGGATCCTGAGAGCGGCCACAGCTGCAGCTCACCTCTCTCCACGAGAATGTGTCAGAGATGAATTTCACCAGTGTGCGACAATTACTAATGGGACTTTGACTTAATTATCAGCAATTTTAAAACAGTTTACCAAAACCCAAGAAGTGTGTGATTCTTATTATGTCCCTAGTTTTGTGAAGGATCCCAACTGAAAAGAAATGATCAAAAGTGAGGATGTTAAAGGACACATAGAAAGCTAAAGTTCAGCACACATACACACATTTTTGATTAGTATTGATACTTTTTCATCCTGACTAAACAAAAACAAATCCTTGCACACAAGAACTTTTACAATATTCTTTAATTTTATTATTATTATTATTATTATTGCATTTAAACTAAACCAGATCTCACTTCACCGTGATTCTAGAATGCCATATTATTTTAAATATTTTCTTCATTGAGCTTTTGATTTCTTGTGTTTGTAAAACATAAATAATTGGATTTAACATGGGAGGTAAAACTGAGGCAAGAGACAGATTTAATATCCTGGCATTGGGATGTACTTGTGCACCAATAGTAAATGTCATTAAAATAGGAATAAAATACATAATCACTAATGAAATGTGAGCTGAGCAAGTTTTAAGTGCCTTTCTCCTTTCTTGACTTAATGCAACTTTAGCCAAAGAGTAGCCAATACAAAGATAACTAAACAAGATGATTGCAAATGGAAGCCAAAGAAGAAGAAATGGAAGCACATAGCTGATGGCAAAACTCGGAAAAGCATCATTGCACGCTAGCCTGTATATCTGACCATGATCACAGAAATAGCTGTTAATCACCACTGAATTACAGAAGGAGAGTCGTGTGAGAAGACCAACTGCTGTCAAAACGGCAATTGTAACAAACACCCAGAAACAAGCTATCAAACTTAGCATAAATCTGTTTGTAACCTTTGTTTGATAATGCAGAGGATACATGATAGCCACCACCCGGTCGTAGGAGAGAGCAACCAGGTTAAGAGACTGGAGTGAGAGGAAAAAGTAGCTGAAAAAAAAGAACATCAAGCAGTCAAGGTAGGGGATGGTAAAGTGGTTAAACAAAAAGATGTCGAGCACCTTCGGCACCTGAGAAGTGCTACTTAAAAGATCCACAAGTGCAAGATTAAAAACTGCAACATATTTAGGAGTTCTGAGGTTATGATCCAGGTAGATCAGAACCATCACTAGTGTGTTTCCAAAGACTGAAGCGATATAGACAAAGCAGAGAAAAACATAGTAATACTGCATATAAGGAATGCCAGTAAATCCACTGATTATGAAATATGCAGGACGGGTAAAGGTAATATTTCTGCCAAGAGCAGAGTTGAAAAGGTCCATTATGATCTTGCAGCCAGCCTATTGTGTCAGCCCTGAGGTGTTTTCTGTTGTTGACTGTCTTTGTGACTTTCTTCATGGAGTGACAACCTTTAAGTAATTTTAAGACCTCCCTTGTGCTGTTGCTTCTCTATCCCTCTGGAGTATTTTAGGCCAAGATTAGAAAAAAGAAGTTTCACCAAAAGTTTGTTATTATTTTTTTCACCTTTTAAAACTTGTTCATTACTTTTTAGTCACACTTCATTAGGAAAATATCACCTTCTTATCAGTATCTGGGGTCCAAGTGGTAGTCTCATGATGCTCAGGTGAGCTGGAGAAGATGCAGGATACCACTTTTACATAAGATGGTCATGATAATTTCCAAATTAAGTCCCAAGTGGAGGAGTTTAAGTATCTCGGGGTCTTGTTCACGAGTGAGGGTAGGAGGGATCAGGAGATCGACAGGCGGATTGGTTCGGCGTCTGCAGTGATGTGGACGCTGAGCCGATCTGTCGTGGGGAAGAGGGAGCTGAGCCAGAAAGCCAGGCTCTCGATTTACCGGTCGATCTACGTCCCAATCCTCACCTATGGTCATGAGCTTTGGGTAATGACCGAAAGAACGAGATCGCGGATACAAGCGGCCGAAATGAGTTTCCTCCGTAGGGTGGCCGGGCTCAGCCATAGAGATAGGGTGAGGAGCTCGGACATTCGGGAGGGACTCGGAGTAGAACCGCTGCTCCTCCGGATCGAAAGGAGCCAGTTGAGGTGGTTTGGGCATCTGGTCAGGATGCCTCCTGGACGCCTCCCCGGGGAGGTGTTTCGGGCATGTCCTGCCGGCAGAAGGCCCCCGGGTCGACCCAGGACACGTTGGAGAGGTTACATCTCCAATCTGGTCCGGGAACGCCTTGGGGTCCTGCCGGAGGAGCTGGTGGACAAGGCCGGGGAGAGGACGGCCTGGAGCTCCCTAATTGGGATGCTGCCCCCGCGACCCGGACCCGGATAAGCGGAGGAAGACGAAGACGAAGACGAAGAAGTCCCTCTGTTTACTTCCGTTGGGTAAGTAAAAAGGGCAGACTAAAACTTTTGGTAGGTCGGGTTTGAACTGTTTGTACTCAAATACAAATGGACCATTATGATTTCTTAGCCATCTTAGCATTTTCAGATGGTGTCCCAGATGTGTTCTGCTGATGGAATTTAACCCTTCCTTAGGGAGTGAATTTGAAGAGTGTGATTGGGAGCAGTGGTCTCCTTTACATATATACTGGACAATAAGTGTCCATAGGCTCCAAATAAAAGTTTTTGTGCCAAAATGGGAGGTGGCCATCACTGCCATTTTGACCGTGTTACAGGATCTGTCAAGCCCAGACAATTCCATAAAAGGGAAAAGAGGTGGAGCTGAGGGTGGGGCTGTAAGGCTGGTATCAAATGACAACACCCGTCGAACTGAAGTGATGTAGCTACAAGCTAACCCAAAGCTAACGCGGAGGTAGAAGCTAAGCTAATGGAGGTACCTATCTAGCTACCGGAGTTAACTGTGCACAACACCGGAGCTTCTGAGTCAGAGATACACCAGGCTGACCGCTGGGTAAAACCGTGTGGAACACAGAGGCCTCCCAAGAGCTCCACAAGCCGGCAGCCTGCGCAGCAGACAGGCGCCGCTGCGATCAGAGATGCGCCGAGCTGCAGCTGAGGGGAGGGGACCATACCGATAGTCAAAACCCAGCTCCACCAACATGTCATATTTCAACCCATTTTCAAAAATGCAGCATTAAATTATATATTGTTAAATGCACTGGGTTTTACCCTATTAAATTTAAATTTCATGGTTAAACAGTACATGTTAAAATCTAAGCTCAGCTAGCGCAAGTGTGGCAGTGACCTAAAATACATAAATATAATATATTTAATGAAATTTAATGAAGTGGATGCTCTATTAGTGCAATTAATACCACAGCAAGTCATTTCGTCCAACAAATGCACAAATAATGTCCAAAAAAGAATGCACAAACGGCACAACTAATGGTCTATGTTGGGAGACTGAAAATCACGGAACAGTTTTGAGGCGAGGCCGAGACTCAGGCTGAGGCCTTTCCCCAGAGCTAGCTCTGCGGTCACGTGGGTCTGATGCTCATTAATTATACAGAATTTTAGGCATTTAATACACTTAAACAGAAGAGTGACAAAAAAATTCACCCCCCTCAGAGTTGTCATGAGTGTAAACTAGATCTATTAAACCTAAAACATGTTTCGGAGCTGTTATATTGTCAGATGAAGAAGATTCCACAACATCTTCTTAGTTTAAACTTTATTAACTCGGATACAGAACATCGCCATTTACCATTCTTCAGAGTGCTCCAACTGGAGTGGCATAACCCAACCTAGCAAGCTATATTTTTTATTCTACTTTTCTGTTATGGGTTATTCCTCATGAGTGTCTTTAATGTGTGTTTTTCCTCTATGTAGGTTGGCTGTGGCTCTTCCTGCAGTTCCTGCCCCTCTTTGGAGCACCGGGGAGTGCCGCAGCTGACTGCAATTTCCTGATTGCCACACCATGTATTTAAGCAGCTGCTCCCAGTGCATGGTGTGGCGCTGTTGTGTGTAGTGTTGCTGGTGTCTATAGCAAGAACTTAGAGTCTGTGGTGGTTTTTGATCAAGTAAAGTCCTGTGAAGTCCTTTTTCCCACTTATGTGGTGATTTTTTGTTATTAAAATACCTCAGTATTGGATCTAGTCATCCTGCCTCCTGCATTTGGGTTTATTCCTGTGTACCCTCGCGTGACATTTTCTAGAGAAACTGTTGCTTCAGAACCATGAACGATCTACCAGTGCCACCTAGTGGCGACACAAAGTATTGCACATCTCTTAAATATTAAACAACCCTTTTTAGCCTTTTAACATGAAGATACTACATCTCTCCCACCTATAAATGAAACCTTTAAAAATAACCGCCTATTATCTAACAAAGTCTTACAGATGAGATGGCGCCCTTCTCTCTCTCTCAGAGCAGTGCAGCATCGGAGGTAATGGAAAATCCAGTGGACCAGAGGATTCTTGAGGGTTTGGTCTGGTCGTTGCGTGTTTGGGCAGGAATGTTTCAGGAGAACTTTGTGAGTCCTCTGGCTCGAACACCCCTGTAGGAGTCCCTGCACCGCTGAGAGATTTTAGCCATGGTGGCACTGTCCTGGTGTCCTGTTCCACATCCTTTGAAGGTTCCTGGTCCCTTGGTCTTGCTCTCACCTGATCCACATGCCTTTTCAGAAACTGTCCACTTCCCATCAACACAGTATGTTAAGTTTTATAACCATAATGAAATGTTCCTTTTTAAGCACAAAGGCTTGCACCAAGAAGACTGAAGAAAACTGAACTCATGACTGACATTCTTCTGACCTCGTGACTAACAGCATCTTGCATTTTCGACGGAGACCCTCCAGGCCTCTGTTGTTCAACGCCAGGTGGTCTCTGACGGACCACCGTGCCCTTGAAAAGGGGGGATATGTAGGGTGATGAATTGTCCATTTCTGACCTAAAGGCCCTGCTCTATTTGCTCTGCCCAAGCAAAACCATAAGTTTCTGACACAATCCTAATCTACAAGATATGGGGCAAGGCCACTCATGCTCTGTGCTCTTATCTAAACTGTTGCTTCCTCAGACAGCACAAGAAAGAAGAAAGAAGACAAAGAACTCTTTCTCTTTAAATAATAATCAAATAACTGAATGTTCAATCAATCTGTGAAATGAGAATATTAATTACTTGATATTATAATCCTATGATAGTATTTTAATAAGTAATATAACTTTAAACTAGACACTAGACTGATCACACGTAATGCTAAAGTCACATGACACATTTCACTTTTCTGATCCAATCAGAACCTTCCAGATCTGACGTGAGGCGTGGTTTTGTTGGTGTTTGTATAATCCCCTTTTTTTCCTGCCAAATTCTGATTCGACAGTAAATCAAAACATCCAAATTATAAAACTATACCCCACGTCATCTTAACTTGAGTTCCAAGCGTTCTAGAGAAGTTATCGGAGTGGCCAATCCGTAACTTTCCTCTTAAAGCCAAAAGAACCTAACGACAAGCTGGATTAAATCTGTTGCATGTTCCACCTGCTGCAATGGTTCCTTCAGAATAAAAACTGAACCATCACGACCCCTTCAGGGTCTCGCTGATGCCAATAAACTGTCGTGACCTGGGAGTAACTCAAGACTGGAAGGGTCGGCAACTGCTGCATATCTACAGGTGTCGGTTCCAAGAGGGTCCAAGCTGGACCCCTGACATTCTGGATCTAAACGGGGACTTCCGTTGGGGTACGTAGACCGACAGATGGTGTCTCAATGTGTGTTATCATCTCCAAACCAAATCTTAGAGCGAAACACCCTTTCACTCCCACTCAGAACTAATAGTCTCTTCGGATTTGCTGGTTCTGAACATATTTCATACACACACACCATCCTCAGTCTTACTCCACCTTAGTTACATCATGCACATAGTGTTTAAAGTTAGTCTTGTTCAAATGATTTAGAAATAAATATTTTAACTTTTAAAACTGACTCTCTCTCTCTTTCTTGGAATTGATACGAAGTGTTGCTCAATCCCTGCAATTAAAAGATCTGATCTTCTGGTTAAATTTACTCAAAGATCCTTTAAGGTGATATTTCATATTTTATGATATTTCACATTCTATGGTTTCTAATTAAATATAAGATTATCTTCTCTACAACACCCACACCCAGGAGCTAGAGAAATGATATTTTTTTTCTTCGTCTTCTTCTTCTATTTAGATTTGAGATTTCTTTGAGTCAAGAGCAGATAGAGGTACTTAGGTCCTTTATTAAAAAAAGAAGATGTGTTTACATCTTTTTTGACAATGTATGGGGACTGCCCTGTTGACTGACATCCATAGCGATGAGTTTGTCATGCTGTTTATTGTCCAATAACTAGGGATGCACCGATCAGGTTTTTTGCTGCCGATCACCGATACCGATATCAAAGAATGCTGATCACCGATACCGATCACCGATACCGA